TGTGTGTGTGTGTGTGTGTGTGTGTGTGTGTGCACATGCTCCACACACACACACACACACACACACACACACACACACACACACATACGCTACACTTCTTCAGGCCCAAGAGATTTTTTACCACAAAGGAGCAAAGGTGCCGCTACTGTTCCATATATAGTGAGACCAAAGGAACTACTAGCGAAATCGACTTTTCCGGGAAAGTTGAATAGAACATATGCACGTTTTGTTCGGGGGAAGACTTTAGGACATTTTCAAAACGTATCCGGCCATAATTGAGACTATATTCATCCCAAAAAGTCCTACACAGAGCGGCGGAGAGACTGATCTCGCCCCCATTTTTCTGCTGCCCCCCTCCCCCCGCCCCCCCCCTCCTTTCGTGCCCAGCAAAAATATAGGGCTCCTAGCCTACTAGCATACACAGGTAGACATTGCCATGCTAATCTTCTCTGCACGGCGACTGTTGAGTTGAAAAACAAGACCCCCCGACCTTTCAAAAAAAAAAACCTCTGTATGGTCCCGAGTCCTCCTACTTTTACAGATGATCCCCTACCGACAGGCGAAGAGATAAGAGAGAACTGCCACCTACCTCACCGACATGGCTGTAGTTCTCAAAAGTTCAAAACCAATGGAATCTACACAACAAATCACGCATCCAGAGTTCGAGTCCATACGGCAGAGTTTGTTGTGAAGAACAGTAGAGTTTAAGGGCAGCAGTATATAGATGTTGGAGGGGGGGCGGGGAGAAGTAATACGGTACATTTGAAGGCGAGGCAGGGGTAGACGAAACAATACAATACAGGTAAATGAGAATGGGCCTAGCTCAGTTGGTACACCCCCCCTGGACTGGTGAAATACAGACTCAAGTTCAAATCCAGATACAAACAGATGATCGGAATAAAATCATGCTGAATTCTGTGGCCGGTCAGTTCAACGATGATATGTCAAGGCGGTCACCCCTTTCTTAAAAAGAGAAAAAGGCGAAGGGAAAAAATCGTTGGAATCGCAAAGGAACAATCCAATACAGGTAAATGAGAAGGGAAAACAATGTTGGAATCGCGCAGGAAGGAGGAGTACCACCTACCTTCTCCCCTTCGGAGCGAAAGAAGAACTCTGAGAAACGCCTGAGCAGGAGGGCCCTGCAGCACAGCCTGATACACCAGCAGGGAAGCAGCATCACGGAGCAGCCCATTTGCCGCCCGTTCTATCCTGTTGACAATCACACAGAAAAAGGGAGGCCGGGGGGGGGGATGGAGGAGGGGGGGGTAGGGGAGGAGAAGGGGGGAGCGAAAGAGGAGGAGTACAGATGAGCAGAAAGAGGAAGAA